ACCACAGACATTTCGCAAACTCCAACATGTTCGTTCGCCAGAGCACTGTCCTCGCCTGTTTCGCCGCTTGCGTCGCGGCCATCGACATCCGCCTCTATCGAGGCGGCGGCTGCGGTGGTGACGCCCTCAACTGCGCCAATGTCAGCCCAGGCACGTGCTGCACCGCGGTTCCCCAGGACCCCAACTTCTCCGTCGGCATGCACGCGATCCCTACCGAGTGGAACATCGTCGGCCTCGGCTTGTGGCAAGAGCGTTGCACCGGGTCCGTTGCCGGCCAGGACTATAGCCGCGGCCGGAGAGACATCTGCCTCGGTGAGCAGAAGTACCGCAGCGCGACGTACGGCTTTGCCAGCAAGAAGCGCGACGAGAGCGAGGGCAGCAGTAGCAGCACCGTGTGCCAGACGCCAACGCAGATCATCTTCGAAGACGGCACTCTCTTTGATCTGAGTGAGCTTAGTGAGGATCAGTACGCCGAAGTGGTGAGTCCTCTACCCAATCTCAAAGTCTAGTGATTGATTCTTTACTGATAACGCTTCATCTAGTGAGTAATGTGACACAGCGAACATCGTACCCAGCGCTTGACACGGCCATACGTGCAAGGTCGCCTTGAATTCATCCCCTATTTATCTTTTGAATGTTGCTGTGCAGATAACTGATACACCATGCTCAACTCTACAGGTCTCAGACATTCGCCGCTGGCGGAAACGCAGCTGATATCGCAAGCCACCTGGCCGCGTACCGTGCTTAGGGTGATTCTCAGATACCTTGTTTCCAACAACTGCACGAAGAGGCGTCAGGCACGGAGGAGCGAGAGGAAGGTGGCTCGGTTGGCCCTGGTGACTCACAGTATTTGCTTGGAAAGCGGATATTTGAGGGAGGAAGTGATGTGGATATGCCATAATGGTGCGCTTCCAGCTACGGCAAGCATTCACGGGATATGATGCATCGCAATGATGGTTCCTGTGGCCTTTGACTAGTACTGAACCTCCCTCCTGAAGCCATGGCTAGGATAGGTCAGAAGACACTTTTATCCGGAACAACAAACCAGGAGATAAGCAACAGTGACAATAATCATCTTGACCCTTTCTACGAGTTCTAGAACGCAACCCTATGGGACCGTATGGGAAGCAATAGTGAGACCGAGATTGAGTGATTGACAATAAATAGGGCAGCAAAGCCTCTGAAATGCAATCCACCTCCCTCAATCACGAGCACACATACGTAATTGTAACAGCTACCACGACTCACCATTTCCACAAGAGAAGACTAGACACAAGCTTTTATTTACCTGCGCTCCATCATAATCAATCTAGAAACAAAAGCAGAACATGAAGCTCAGTGTAGCATCTGCCGTCGCCTTTGTGGCCACAGTCCATGCACTCCCGCTCGCACCATTGAGCAGGGATGTATCGTCCGTTGCCGCCAAAGTCCCCTCCACATTGGGGCTCACATTCCCTCGATCGAGTCCGAACGATGCGTTCTGTCGCAATTTTAACGAGGAGCTGTCGAAGATGCTTCTTGGTCTCGAAATCGCAGGCATTACAGCCACCGTGACGAACGCAGATGGGCTGACACGACCGCCACCTGGCCCTGACGATGCCTCTCGGCAGTCGAACGATCATACCGGAGCCGCCCGAAAGCGAGGAGAAAGTGCGGTCCAGTGGATAAATGAAAGGCAGCACTCGGCTCTTCTGAATCAGTTGGCATCTCCAACGGGCTTCATATGTGATGGGGGTGAGCTGGTCGATATTGCATTCCTGAACTCCAGTAAGCAGGAAATATGCAAGCTTCAATTCGGGGTTTTGTTATCACCGAAGATAAATGTAGAAAAGACGATAGAAAATTCGAAGTTCTATACTTTGGAGCTTTTGGTCATTTAGAGATGATCCCTTTGGGGTTTGATGCACTACGGGTTTTTGCCTCCACTCTCCTGCTCTCATGAGGCCTTTGACGAGCAGACCTTCCAAGTTCCTGGCTCCACAAGTGTGCAACACATGCAGCTCAGATTCCCAGCTTGTAGCCGCCCTTAAGAGACCGCTGAAAGATTTGCTTGGGGTCGTACTTGCGGCTGACGGCACGGAGGAACTCGAGACTCTCGCTGCCGTAGCTGGCCATGACGTGCTGGAACTTGGCCGCGTAGGTTGAAAATTCGAATCGATGACCCTTGCCGCGTGTATTGGTGTAGGCTTGCACCTTTGCGTGCCAATTCTGCGCTGTGGCGTAAACCTGCTCGTCGTATGCCGCATCGCTCCAGAGGGGCATGATGAACATGACTGCAATAGGCAAATCAGAATCAGTGCCCAGCTTCAAAGGCCTGGTACGGGTCGTGAAGACTTACTCAGCAGATCCTCCTTGGTGCCACCAAGGCCGAGACTGTTGCCGCCACGAGCGGCGCTCTGGTCCTGGATATGTCGGGACAGTGGCTCGAACTGGAAGTCCCAAACCAGCCCTGGGATGTTCTTGGACTCCTCAAAGATCTGCATCGTGATCTTGTGCACACCTTTGATTGTCTCGAGGGCATTGACAAGGTCAGGTCGGCCACCATGACGCGGGTGACGGGTGGAACCCATGATGGGTACTGGGCGATGGACGAGCTGCGGCTGCATCTCATAGGGACGGCTTGATCGCGGCGTGATCTCCGGCAGCATCAGTGTCAATGAGCTAGAGCAAGATCTGCCCTTGGCCAGTGGTGGCATTGAGAAAGTACTCAGTCGTCAGCCCTGCATTGAGGTGCACACCGGTAGAATCGTCGGTGAAAACTTGCAGGCTCTCGAGCACGGCGTCGCTCGACTCGACTGGCACAATGATGAGTCCGCGCCGTGGATCTTCTGCGGGTGCTCAAACGTGGCGAGATCAAAACGTGTGACGATGCCAAAGTTGTTATTGCCGCCCTTCAGCGCGACAAACAGGTCCTTGTTGGTGTCCTTGTTCGCGTTCACGATCTCGCCCGAAGCAAGCACCACCTCGAAATTGATAATGTTACCGGCCACGAAGCCCACGCAGCCCTGGAACCATGAATACCCCCCACCAAGAGTCACACCACCGACACCGGTGCCCGGACAGCGGACACCAGGAAAAGCGATGCCCAAGCCATCCGTCTCGGCGTACGCGAAGCGTCAGACCTCGCCGCCCCCCAGAGAGACGAAATACCTGTCGGCCGAGACGGTGGTAGTGTTCATATAGCCGCTCAGGTCGATGGCGACTGCATTGTCGACATTGTTGGCGCCTGCCCACGGGGTATGGCCGCCGCACTGGATTGAGAACGGGCAGGCGTCACCCTTTGGGCCAGCCTCCCTCTTCAAGGTGAACGACGAGTGATGGTGATATCCGTTCGGACTGGATGAATATCCTGCCAGATCGAGAAGCACGCTGGAGATACCTGCTCTCGCGTCTCAAAACTCCAGTGCGGGAACGGCATGGAGCTGACTAAAAGTCAATCAAACTGTAGAGCCAAGAATGCAGTGAGACACGTGAAAGTGTCTCGCGTTGAAGAAGTATCTGAAAGTTGTGGCATAAGACATATAAACAGAACTTGTTCAGTCCGCCTGCCTCATGAGGAGCAAGAAAATCACTGGTTCATTCCAGGAATCCCTCAAAATCGAGCCGCGCAGAATGGGCTGCTTTTCACATAGCCGAGCTTCCTGTTCGTTCTGTAAATTGGCTATCCAGGGCATTCCCGAATTGCCAGGCTAGTTCTGGCCACGCTTGCTCACGCTTTCCTCGCATTTTCCAACTAGGACAGGAAGAAGGACCAGGTCTGCAGGCTGCCAACGACAGCCGTGAAGGCGGCGTTAGGGATGAGGCCCTTGCGGTAGTAGTATAGGGCAGAACCCCAGATGGTGCCGATGGCGGTCGACACGATGGCCTTGTCAATCGGGGTCCGGAGGGCAGTGGGGTTGAGTGAGAACTGGTAGTTTAGCAATGCCTTTCGTCCGGGAATACCGTTAGTAGGTGAGCGCTCAGCCTTGGACAAAGGAATGGGAGCACTGCGAGCGACACATAGATGGCAGGCAGGTAGGGGCAAAAGGGGCCAATCACTCACGAGAATCAGGAAGAGCCCGCTGCCTTGGTACCACCCGATGGTGCCGCAGGACCTGGGGAGGTTGCTGATGGACTTGAAGTCCTTCTTGGACTGCCACTCCTTGGCCGAGAGCTGCACTCCAGATCAGCATTGTGGCTCGTACTGAGGTCGCTTACAGAACCCTCTCCACCTGTGGTCTGCTGTGGGAATCGCTGAGTGCTGCTACGCAGGCGGATGATGACGTACCGTGTGGCCAATGGAGCAGATGAGCCAGCCAGCGGCCGAGACCTGGAACGGGCGCGCAGACATGGTGTGCTGTATGAGTCTGGAGAGGTGGCAGTAGATTCTATAACGAGTAATCTTGAAATCCGTAATGGTGGCGTGTATTGTTCGTGAAAAGAAGATGGAGTGAGGGCGCAAGCACTGCGACAGCGATGATCGCGGACCAGTGATGCAATCCGAAGCCGAGGCACGGAGCAAAACCGTCGTGCGGGGGCCTAGTGCTTACATAATGTCAACAGTGCGCGGTAGCACTCCCAGGGAGTTTCCTTGTCAGGAGTGGCGTTGGAGCGAGACCAGCCTTGGGACCATATCAATCAGAGCATCCAGGCCGAGGCGGAAACACCACCGGCACAAAATCATTACGTGAAGGTGGTCGGCTCGATGAAGTCGCAAGTAGTGAGCAAAGGCTAGATACGACACTTGTGTCGAACGCGCGCTCGTTCAAGGGAACTTAGTTCTGACACAGCAGTCGCCACGGGGATAGAACAGACCCAGGTGATGCAACATGATTGGCTAGAAGACTGCTTTCCGAAAAGAGTCTAGGCCAAAGTAAAGTCTGTTGTGCTTGTAGCTGTATGAACCCCGAGCTACTTCGGGGCCTCGACAGCTCTCAGCATCTCTCTAAATCACCAGTGCTTCCACCCAACACGCAGCCAAACACGCAGCAATAAGTACAGTGTGATTCAACAACATCTGGTGAGGTGGCCGAGTTGGTTATGGCGTTAGGTTAAGGCTACCTTAACAAGTATTTATCCTAATGGGGCAACCCGCATGGGTTCGAATCCCATCCTGCAAGTTATCCCCTATCTACAGCCTCGAGGAGCGACTGGCTAACATGAAACAGCATCATACCCCAAAGCGTATAATTTTTTGATTTTTTATTGTGTTCTACAATCCCCTCCCTCGGGACGAAACAGTACCTTACTGCATGCGTGAGGACTCTAGATCTCGAGGTTGATAGTAAACAAGCTGTCATGGTAGCTCGCCCATGTCCAACAACAGAATGGGATCAGAGAGCACTCACACACACCGTGCAATGTCTCTGGAAAGATCATGTCAGGAACAAATCGGGACTCCGACGGGCAGAGCGTCCAGGATAGGTTGCCGCTCTCCTCGCTGCCACGCGGCATGGACATGGTCCACGCCACGAAGGGGTGCAGGACAACCCGAGGCCCTGGGTCCAACACCTTGTGCATGCATGCATGCATGCATGCTCCTCAGGAGTGGAGTGAAAGCAACAGGTGCGCGATTCCAAACCTTGTATGGAGTAGTGGTCGTACCTCCTGTTAGCAGTGTGAAGATGGCCGACACATGGTTGACACATCATCAGCCGCAGCCACGCAACGTGTTGGGGCCTCGTCTCGTGAAGCCTCGACTTTGACATGAGGCACGGCGGCCGGGTGTCCCGTGGTAGTCGTGGTCGTATCGTGAACCAGACGCTTCCAATCTAATCAGATCCATCTTTGCGTGTTCTAGACCTGTTGTGCACCCAGCGGATGATGCGAATGGCGCCAGCCGCTCAGCTAGCCCGAAGCAACTGGCCAATCCAGTCTGCGCAGCCCACTCAGGCTTATGCATTGTCGACTTGGCAGCTGAAGGTATCTCCGGGCCATGTGTAATGCGGACACCTGCTCCTCCTCGGAAGCCCGACCGAGCCAGCACGAGCGCGATCGGAACAAAGGACGGACGGCATCACTGCATCTTCATGCGTGGCACGAGGCCTGACTCGCAGGGTGGCACTCGCTCCATAACCGTCCGATAGCCCGTAGCCATGCCAGGGCCCCTTCATTCATGCCTGCTGCCGGCGAATCAGGCCCCTACAGCACGAACCTATATCTCCACTTGCGGGCACGCCTCGCTGGCCAGAAACAGCAAAGACTGCTCGAACCACGCGGCTATCCATGCTGCCCAGCGTCGCCAAGGCCGAGCCAGTCAAGTCCACCACGCGAGCCATACCCGTTGTGGTATTGGTGTCATGCTACAACACCCATAAGCTCTCCATGATTCCATCTGTCCAGGCCCGGGGAGCCCGACACGAGTAGAGCCCCCCACTGGGCCACTTGTGAGGACTGCGTAATTAGGCCTCGTGCGTAAGCTTCGCTGGGCCGATGACCGGCCGGGCTGTCTTCCCTTTTTTATCAGATCTCGAGGGCCGACCCCACCCGCCCAGGCCGTAGCTAGAAAATTTTTATCAGATCAATCAAATCAATCAAGATAATCGCCCGGGTTTGTTTGAGCCTAATGCAGTGCCACGGTACCGTCCTTTCTCCACGGGGGCCGCCGGCATTGTTCGGGTTCGGACGAGTCCATATTATTAAAAGCTTCCCCACGCGCACACACTCTGGTCTCTAGGGGTCGTCTTCCTCTCTTCTGCTTCCCAAGGCACCACTGCTGCACGTCCGTCCACCGTCAATCATTGCCTCTTCCTGCCCTCGCGGCTGCACGCCCAGAAGACAGTCGCCAGCATGTCGGAACAAAAGGGGTCCATCGGACAGAAAGTCCGGGGTATGTCCACATCGCACCCGAGACCCAAGTGACTTGCTGTTGACAACAGAGTTTGGCAGGATACTTCCTCGGCGCGAAGCCCCAGAGCGCAGAGGAGCGCAAGTTCGTGCGGAAGATTGGTATGTGCTGCCGCCGCGAGACTGTTGGAATGCAGCCAGTCCAGAGACTGATAATGGTGCTCCACAGACTTCTTCATCATGGTATGATGCAAGCCCACCGACCACAGAAACGACTGCACCGCCAGCTCCATTGCTGACTCGGTCCCACAGACTTACTGCTGCCTGGCCTACTTCTTCAACTTCCTCGACCGCGCTGCATTCGCCAATGCCTACGTCGCTGGTCTCCGCGAAGCGCTCAACATGGGCGGGCACGACTACAACACTGTTCTCTCTGTCACGACCGCTGGGTGCGTAGTCCGGCCATGACATCACGCTCAGGACACTATCCGGAAGCTGACCGCGCGTGATCTCGCAGTATGGCCATCGGCCAGATCCCCCACGGCCTCATCATCCAGAAGGTCCGACCCAGCATCTGGCTCCCTTCCATGGTCATCATCTGGGGCTGCCTGACCGTAAGCAAGAACCTTCCCGATCCCCCCGCGAGTGCATTATTTCTGACCCATGGCTCGGCCCTGTCCACAGATTGCGAGCGCCGCGTGCAAGACCCTCACCCAGCTCCTCGTGGTGCGCTTCTTCCTTGGTCTCGCCGAGGCCAGCACGTACGCTGGAACCATCTACGTCATGGGGTCGTGGTACACCCCTGGAGAGATCGCAAAGGTTTGCAAGACCCTTCCCAAGCATAAAAGCACTGCAGACTGACCTGGCGAAGCGCACCGGAATCTTCTCAGCTGCTGGCCAAATCGGAACCATGTTCGCGGGAATCATGATGACGGCCATTTACAAAACCATGGGCGGTCTCGGCGGTCTTGGAGGATGGCAGTGGGTCTTTATCATTGGTAAGTCGCAAATTCGGAAACCTCCATCCTCCATCAAGGCTCGGGCTCTCAACAGATTGCTCACGATTATCTATGATTGACAGACGGCATCATCACGCTCCCCATTGCCTTCTTCGGCTTCTTCTACCTCCCCGACCGGCCATTGAACACCAGGGTCAAGTACCTCAGCGACGCCGAAAAGAAACTCGCTGTCGCCCGCCTCCCCCCTGTCAAGGAGGGCAGCCACAGCATCCGCCCCTTGTCTCTGTTCAAGCGATTGGTCTTCACCCCCATGTTGTACGTAATACAATACCTGGCTACTCACACCTCACCGAATGTGCTGACACCCGCCTTTAGCTGGATCCTCGTCTTCTGGTCTCCCGTCGTGCAGACCCTCGAGGCGTATACCGTGCAGGGCAACTTCCTCATCTGGCTCAAGTACCACTCGAAGGACTTCACGCAGACCCAGATCAACACGTACCCGCTCGGCGTGCAGGCCACTGGTATCGTCGCGACCATGCTGACTGCCTGGTTCATGGACGCCACGGGCCAGCGCGTGCCCATGGTCGTCCTCGCCGTCGTCCTGCAGCTCGTGGTCGCGTCCATGCTGCTCGTCCCCAACCTGCCCTTCGCGGGCACCTTTTTCGCCTTCTACCTCAACGGCGCGTCGTACATGGTGCTCCCGCTCATGTTCGGCTGGGCGACCATCATCCTGCAGCGCGTCGGCGACGACGCCGTCCGCAGCGTCACCGTCTACGCCATGAACGTCATGAGCATGACCATGTACACGTTTTGGGGCATCGTGTTCTATGCCGCCGACGAGGCGCCATACTGGCGCAAGGGAGGCATCGTCATGATTGTGGCGTGTTTTGTGATTCTCGGATACTTGTATCTCATGTGGAGGGTACGTCGTTGATCCTGACCATTGCACACGCTGACGAAAATGGTTCGTGGTACTAACATTCTCATTCCGTGCAACAGCTCGACCGATACACCCTGGAGAAGTACGGTGATGGCACTGTCGGGGATGCCGAGGCGTCGTCTGGCCTGGCCCGCGAGGCCAGTCCCAGCAGCGACAATGTCGGCAGCGTCGAGGGCGAGAAGCGTGTTGGTGGTGAGGAGGTCACGTCTGTCAAGGCTTGATGGAGTGGTCGTCTACCGAGTCATTTTCGTATGCTTTAGCAAACATGGCTGAGCGCCAGTAGTTGCTGACAATAATATTCACGTGACCGAGCAGGGTTTTAGAATGACGCTTGTCTTTACCTAGGACTCGCGCGGGCGTACACGTGCGCTCGTCTTGGTAGTCAGATTAAACAGACTCGCAAAACTGTGAAAGGGCTTTCCAAGAAGATCTTAATAGCGTCAAAACAATTGCACGAAGGTGAACAAATAAGAGAGGGAGCTTGATACGGCGAGACACATCACAATTTGTCGATGCATGCATCGAAAGCCCTCAACACATCCGAGCTTGTACCCCCAGGTAGTTATACAGAGTCCACACGGCTCTTTGCTTTGTGAGGTCCATCCATCTGCCTATTGATACTGGCGTGGGAGAGTTGTCTTGTCTCAGCCCGGGAATTCGCTCAACTCGTGCAGGGAGGAGACGAAATTGGGTTTGACAGTCCCCGCAGTCTCAAAGAGCGTATCAGCACCACTAGCTTCAATACCCAGCCTGAGATTACTTTACTGGCGACGGGGCGATTAGTCCGCGGGAGGCCCAAAAGGCTGGGACAGAAGTGCCCATGGCTACAGCACTGTTACCTTCTCCCGCTCCGGGGCTTCAGTTTTGCTTTTTCCCACGACCTATCGCATGCATGTTAAGGGCGTTCTGATCCCTCACAACTGCGCCCAGCATGGATTGTCTGCGGCAGGAGGAGCAGGAGGATTATGTTTTCTGTCTCACCGTCACACCCTCGTGGCCAGGCTGCAGGGCACGACTGTAGACCACCGGCCGTCACACTGGTCCATGTGCCCGCCCCATAGCCATAAAGAATGTCTGGCTTGCCCCATCAGCCCCCAAATCCTCAAATGCAGATCCGCCGGTCGTGGGCATCTTGTTCTACCGCCGATGTGGCACGCCCAAAGCCACAAACTCGAGTGCGGCTCTAGTCTATTTGGTAACTCAAGCCTCTCTTCGGATCTTGCCGAACAGATGTCAAGGTGTCTCAACTGTTACCTGGGCTCGCTGTCCCCTCGCATCGCCAGCATTTCTTGGTCCATCTGACCAACCGCCACTAGTAACTACCCTGTTCTTCGCGGACTGAACACGCAAGTCAAAGCGGGCTTTTGCCCAATCCACTTTTGCAAAGGTTCAAACCCTGTTGAGGGATCAGCATATGGCCGATCAGACATTGGG